AATTTTCCAGCTTCTTCTAAGTATCAACCTCAGCACTTTCTTGGCACGGTGAACTTTTACTAGCGGTTCCTTCCGAAATTAACTGACACTATACTTCAACCCACAAATTTTCCCTTTGGCCCAAAGGTTTTTTCGACCTGCCCACAGACGCCCTCGCTACTTTTGACACGGTAAAAACTGTCCTACCTAATACCATGCTTCTGTCGTACTTTGCCCTTGATGCTACTATCTAATTTCTGGCTGACTTCTCTCCAGTCGACGCGGATCTTTAACAGCATGTTGTAGGTCAAACTCACTCCCTAGCTTTCTTTTCCAGGACATTAAAGCCCGCTAAATCGCGTTACAGCATATTTAGACGGGAGCAACTGTGGCGCCTTCCACCACTGGCACCACGACACGAAAGAGATAACGTGATTGCAGTTCTCGGTCTGCCTCTGGGACAGCAAATCACAAGTGCCATCAGCTGCTATTTGCCAAGCAACGGATCAAACGACCAGTGATTCATTTTTGTAGGATGCTTAAGCATTCATGCCCACATCATGCTAGTGAACAGACGAGCGCGTGCGCACAATAACTAAATCCTACTTGCCTTTACCTTCTCTTCTTATATGGAAAAGGGGGTGGAAATATTGGTGCTCTGAGCACATCCACTGCTTAGATGCCAAAACGTCCTGCTGTCTATCTTGCCGTGAAAAATTTCCGGCAGTTCGTCAAGGGTAGAGACCCTAATTGTATTCGCCGACCACAAACCCTTTTCCTACGCCTTGAAATCAAATTCTGACGATCTGGACCCCCGGGCGCTTAGACAACTGGACTATATCTCTCAGCTCACCTCTGATATCAGCCACATCGGTGGGTCACGTAATAAGGTGGCTAACGCACTGTTCAGACCCTCCACTGCCCATCTGTGTACAAATAACTCCTGGGCTCGAGCTGGCTGAGATAGCTGTCGAATAACATCTCGTTTATGTACCGTGTGCTAAGGGTGTGTCCGGGCTAAAACTCCAGGAATTGTGACCGACTACCGCCTCCTACCATCCATTTTCCCACCATTGTTTCATCGCAACGTTTCCTACTACCTACACAACCTATCTCACCCTGGAAGTCGAGCTACAGACAAGCTGGTTTCTGACCGCTTCGTTTGGCCTGGGATGCGCAGTGACTTCAACGCTTGGGTGCGAGCTTGTCTCAGCTGTCAGCAGAGTATGGTCCACTGACACAACAAGGCACCTATTGCCACTTTCCTCTGCCCTGGTGCTAGGTTCACTCACGTTCATCTGGACATCATAGGCTCCCTGCCCCTGTCCAACGGTTGTTTCTATCTCCTCACCCGTGTGAATCGATTCACTCGGTGGCCGGATGCTATCCTCTGCTTAGTGTTGAGGTTTCTACTATGTTTAAGGTTTTCCTCAGTCGTTGGTTTGCCAGCCTCGGCACTCCCTCCACAATTACGATTGATTTGGGTTTCCAAATTGAAGTTTACCTTCTCCATCCTCTTCTCCCCTTTTAGGCTGCAATCGTATCTGCACTACGGCTTGTCATCCTACTGCCAACGGGATGTTCGAGCGCTTGCTCTGTCAGCTAAAGGCTTCCTACGCGCCATGGCTGATCCAGAGCACTGAACGAGACATCATCCTCTGGGTCTGTTGGCTATCTGCTCCTCCCTCAAGTCAGACCTTGACTGCTACGCTGCTGAACTGAGCTTCAGTGCCACTGTCCGACTTCCTCATCCGATTATCTGGTCCTCCCTTCTAAGTGCAGTCGAGGATCGCACTAACCTCTTGCACCGCCTCTGTTTTTTTTCCGAACACCATCCGTGGTTCCGTCCAAGTCCTCCATCTCTGAGTCCTGTCTGAGGTAAGCTTTGGCTAACGGGGACAAAGGGCACGTTGAAGTAAGCTGTTAGTTTTGGGTTAGAGTTAGTGCGCAGAAATAGGTCATTTTCTAACAATTCAACGCGAAGTAATCTATGCTGCGGGAGGTTCTAAATTCTGTCCTTGCCATTGCCTGTGACTCTGGCGCCTTGCGCATATTTGATGATCATGCGTGCTAAACGTAAACTTATTTATGGCTATGTGGTTATCTACGACAGCCATTTTCCAACCGACAATACCTCGCATTGTCACCAAAACAGACGTAAAACCAAGCGCGCTTACCGCTTATCAGTTTTTAGCTTGGATTCTAGTTTGATACTGCAACTCTATACAGGGTGCCCTAATACAATGTCTACACATTTTATCTAATTGTAAAAACAGTGTTTATCATAATTTTATTATCGAATCAATGTAAAGATATTTAACAGTACCATTTTATTCTTTTTTCACTGAATGTTCTCAACCTGACGTCCATTTGATAATGACACTGCTGACAACCCCTAATAGCAATTTTCCGGTACCACAGGATAGAATGGTTCCAGTCGGACCAAAGGATAGAAGCGAATAGGTCCCTGTAGCCCTTGGTACAAGTGCGCCGTGATTGCGTATATGGGCTATATTCCGTGCGTTGACTGGGGGAGGTTACAAGCCGTCAACGAAATCGATGGTCGAACACACACAAG